TCTGAGAACACTCAAAAGGATTTCAGGGGTGAACACAGTTACGAGGAGTTTACATGCTCTGGTGCAGTACACAGGAGCTTCAGTGTGGAACGTGGGTCTCTGGATGGGTCGGCGCTTTCAAACTTGGACAGACTGAGACTTGACAGGAAGCACAGAGGAACACAGGACCGCTGCTTCCACGGGCGTGGAGGGGGAGGGCGGGGGTCTTCAGTGTAGTGAACGTGGAGGCTGCGTGTGCACGGGACCTGCATGCACTCTGTGGCTTGGGCTAATCCCTTTGCGTGGATTTACAAACTGTTGGATCTTGGCAGCGGGGAGAATAGGAGGGGGGGGGGGGGGGGCTCACTTCTTCGGATTAAAGAGTCAACAATGTGCAGCTAGTTGGAACGTGGGAACAGCAGCAGCGGAGAGAGAGAGAGAGAAAAGGGCGAGCTGGGAGTATTTACACGACATCACAGAGCAAACGTGTCGACACAACTGGATTTCAAAAAGGATCTTCCATCTACACAGGAGGAGCAGGAAGTGTGTGCTTGAGATTTCAGTTTGGGATTGTCAAAAGTCTGAGACGCCGTTTCAAGTAGAGAGGCACACCGAGGGGAGGGGAGGGGCGGCGGCGGCGCAGGGCGTCGACTAGCTAGGAAGGGGTCTCGGCGACAGCGTCTTGGGTTTTCCTTCCCCCTCCTTCCCCTTCACCGCCGCCACGTACGAGAAAAGACAGAGGACGGAGTAACAGATCTGATGTGCCTGCAGAGGAGGAGAAGACACGCTCAAGATTTTACAGAAAAAAAAGAAAAAGAAACGAAACAGGCTTTGGGCTAACTCGTCAGGAAGAACCCAAATCTAAAATGCGCCAAGATGATTCAWGTCTGACTGACGTTCTGGACGGATGCAACTAAAAACAAGCAGTTCTGGTAAAACCAGAAATCTCTTGTCGTTACTGCACCACTTGTCAGAAAGTCAGCGTCACTCCCACCAGCTGTACGCTACAGATGATTCAAACACACTCCGTTACAAGTCTCACCTGTCAACACACAACTGGATCGGTCGTGGTCAGCTGGCTGCTGTTAGCTTCATTTTCTAAACTACAACTCTAAATAAAGGTCGGAATTGTGAATATTCTTGTTAATGAAATATGAAAGTAAATAACTCATTTTAATTATTAACAGTGGCAAAAATCAAGCATTGAACATAAACTCTGTGCTTCAGGTATTTTTTTGCAAACATTTATTAACGTGTGTGTTTAATATTCAGACCTGAGCCGTAGAGGAACACAGAARTCTGGGGGTGGGTCAATATATCAGCCGGTCTTTGTGACGACTGTCAGGGTCAGTACTGTGTTATAATGATGACGTGCACCACTCAGCTCAATCATTACATCATCAGCAAAGATGAAAGACTTCCCTCTGAATCAGAGCAGCTAAAAAAGACTCGCTGACTCAGCACTTCCTGTTTTCTATTTTATATGTACACAAATATATTGATTGTACTGTAAAGACATAATGAAAGAAAGGTGTGTCTGACATCTAGTGGATCTTCTGTGAAACAAAAATAAAAAGTATTTATAATTCACCTGGGAAACAGAATCCCAAACATTCTTGTAAACTTGTCATTTCTGCAATTCAAAGGACTGAGTGCTTCATGTAAATTTATTGCATGTTCATTGTTTGTCTTGATCAGAGCAGAAACATGTCAGGTGACGTCTCAGTGATGTATACTGATGGGAGGTGGGGTGTGTGCAGATCCCACTGCTGTGTTTTGGACTGGAGTTCACACTCATGAATACTTTAAAACCCATCACCACACAGATGCAGTCAGTTCTACTTCACTTTCAGCTACAGCATGCTCTTCGTGTGGTAAAAAAAAACAAAAAAACTCTGATATAAATAAAATAAGTTATATAAAAGAGCCCTAAACAAAAAGACAAGCACAGATTAAAGGCGGAGGACACGGGGACTCACCATGGGAGTCTTGTACTTGTGGATCACCACTTCTTTAGTTTCAGGAACTATGTCGGTACGAGAGACAAAACAAAGCATTCAAAGGCAGCAGGAACCACGGTGGCTTCATGTGAGAGAGCTTTGAGGAGCTAACAGGGTTGAACTTTACACGGTGCAGAACAACAAGTGGGCCAAGAAGAGTTTCACCGTCACAAACAGGACGACTTTAGATTTCATTCCAAATCTATTTATTCAGTTTTAATCACCAATTTATCCAAACATCTCTTATTTTCATTTTGATCCACTTAAAGTCCAGCAAAGGACTGATTAAGGTGATCAGAGGCTGTTGGTGACACGTTCATGGCCCACTGCATGGACAAATCAAACCACAAGGGTCTTTTAAGAACAGACTGCAAAGGTTATAAGGTTTGACTAATGAAGAACAAACGAGAGAGAGGGAGAGAAAAAAATTAAAAAGAAGACGACGCCTTTCCCTCCCTGAACCCCTGTGACGTCACAGAAACGCAGCTGGAAGAGCCTAAAACCTGTCTGACTTCTCATGAGTAACTGTGAACCCGCTGCAGACATGGAGAGGCAGCAGGGTCCCCGCCTGACACCTCCCCCCCCACCGAGATGCAGAGGCGGGGGAGTCGGGAAGGTGGCGCTCACGTGAGGAACAATGAGGTGAGCGCCGAAAGGCAGAGCAAGTGACGAACGAAGCAGAGGGATGCTCGTCGGTACGGAGGAGGTGGGAAGGGAGAAAAAAAAAGAAACGGTGAAATGGGGGAGGGGGGAGTGATGGGCACGGGTTTCGTTTAAAGAAGAAAGGTGACAACACTTTACCTGCTGGAGAATGAAGGTTTTCATAGTGGCAAAGATGAGGAGCGACATTACAAAAGCAGCACAGAGGCACGGCAGTAACCCCGCCCGGCTCAGCCTCCACCTCTCATCACAACCGCTTTTTGAGATCAACACTTCAAACTGCTGCTAAAGACACGTCCTGCAGACATGTCATCAGGTCCATCTGACCTGTAGTCCTGTGACTGAGTCTCAACTCCTAATCACTAAAACTGACTTTCTCTTTWAAAAAAAAAGGTTCAAATAAACAGCTAGAAACTCAGAAACACCTCAGTGACACTGATGTCCTGATTGAATTAAACTGAGTTATTAATGTGTGAKTTTCTGTGCTGCTGAAACTGTGATGTTCAAACCAATCCTCTGACACAGACTGACAGCTCAGCTGTGTCTGAGCACACTCTTTATGTTTGGAAATAAAATCAGGATTTTTTATTATTTTTTTTTACATTTAGGAGTCCTTTTCAGTCGCTGCTTTCTAATGATTAACCACCAACAGAATATTGCTACATTTGGTTTGAACTGCCATCCTGGTCGTTTTTTATTTTTATTTTTTCATATTTTACGAGAATACTGACGAGTTTGAACCTATATATAATGTGTGTGATTATTTTACACAACGCAAATTTGTGACCCATCAAATCAAAACGAGGAGACGGTCTAAAAGTGGTACATGGAAAAATAGGCAAATATAGCATTTTAATTAAAGCACTTACAAAAATTGCATTTTGTCAAAATATAACAAATAAATGCCTTATCACTGTTTCATTTGAATGAACTGTGTGAAATATAATAATACATTTTTTGAAGCATGTTTTTGAGCAGTAGCAACAAAAAAACTGATTTTGAGGAAAAACGCCTTACAATTTTGAGATTTTCCCTGTGAGCTAGCAAAGTTTTCTTTCTTTCCAGCTGGGAAATGTCAATATTCAAATACCATTTGACATTTTTTCTTCATAATGAAATGACAAATTTCTCATTAAAATTACATAAAATTAGGATTCAGACCAAATATTAATGTATTATCGTAACCAATAAGACAAATTAAGGCATATCCCTGGTTCCGTTTATGAAATCAGAAAGAACCAAGTAACAAAATGTAGCATTTAAAGCCAGGAATCTGAAAATGTAATAAGGTAATTTTGACYGAATTTGATTTAATCCTCATTTCGATATGATGGGYCACATATAGGTTTCTGGAATTATGGTAGGGTTGGGCAAAATCATGTTGTGTGCGATTTATCATCAGAAAAACAGTCAACAATTAATATTTGCCACTTTGTGATTGATGCCACATGATATTTTTGTGTGGGATGCACTCCCTATCAAGCATACATGTGAGCCCGTGGCATTCTGCATCACTAGAGATTTTCTGCCACACAAAATGAAGTTTGACTGATGAAGTATCATTTCAGAACACAGAGTAACTGATTTAGTGTCAAAAACACAAGTGCAATCATTATCCCTTATATTAATAATTATCAGATAAATGCCTCAATTAACCATGATTAAATTTTTTGCCAATATTGCTCAACCCTAAGTCATAGTTTCAGTTATTCTGGTTTTAATCTGGCTTAAATATAACAGGATGCTTTAAACTTTTCCTTACATGTTTTTCCTGGTCATATCTGAGGTATTTCCTGTTTTGGACCTAAAGAGTTTTGTATAGAGCTGCAGCTTGTGTTACTGTAGAGCAGTTAAACTGTGGTTATAAAGATGGTATTTACTGGGGAAAATGGGAGATTTTCAGCTGCTTTCAGTCACCACTGCTAACATACGGTGACGAGACATGTTGCAGAAGAAGCTGCTTTTTTGGGGGGAGGGTGGGGTAGGTTGGTCAGGACACAGCTATGAGTCCTGAAACATTAAAGTGGGGTCTAGAAAGGATTTTCAGAATTAACTATGTTTAAAAATGATGTTTTTTTGCTTTACGTTACAAAAAGAGTGAAGTTAGTGTACGTACACATGGATGGATATAGCATAATGAATATTGTTACGAAGCCCTTGTTTATTTGACTTGATACTAATGTGCATCACAGGGCTCTGCTACTGTTACTTTATGGGTCAAAAGCTGATCATTTGGAAACCATTACTTTAAATAAATCTTATGTTTACGAGTGGAAGACCAGCAGAAAAGTAAGATAAACTAATGAAACAATAACTCTTACAAAACCTCATGATTGAAAGATGGTTTAAGCATCATATTTAACTACAGGAATAGACATTTAATGAAACATTTCCCTTTTCTTTTTCAACTTTTTTTTTTTTTTTTTTTTTTTGCTAAGAGGAACTAACTGTGGGGCAAAGGCAGAGAGCGAGTCCTTCCTTGCTGCCGTTCTCTAACCCACAGGCTGAGTTCCCTCTTCCTTCTCATCACCTCAATCAAGTGCAACTCTGACACCACRGGGCGGCTGAAATCTACATCTCCTGAAAAATTCAGCACTCGCCTCGCGCCCTGCAGACATCAGAAGCTCAGTGCTCCTCRAGCGCAGGAAAGCATCCAATTTAGCGAACCTTTATGAGCTTCTCATCAATAAATTTGCCGTGAAGCCGAGTTACTGCCGTGCCGAGTACAGGCCTAGAATCAATAGATGGTGTAATTACCAAATTCCTCCAGGACAAAGACTCCCTTCACTGTATTGCACTTTTTAATGTGACTCAGCTCTATGAAAACCTAAAAACAAACAAAAACAAACAAAACAAGACAGAACATTATTAACTAAACAACACCAGATGAAGAGTAAACACTTCATAGTCAAATTAAAATTAGCCATGTTGAGCTTGTTTCAATCAGTGTGATGAAGGGTAAAAAGAAAAACAGCTACACATGAAATGCAAGCTTTTAGCAGCTAACGAAAGAAAAAAAAAGACACTAGGAGAAGTTTCCATGATCAAACACATACATGGGCAATGAGAAGAAATGTATTTATTCTGTTCAAAGCTAAACACCAATTCAAAATGACTCTTTAATCAACGAAACTTGTGGTTTCTTTGTATATAAAAAAATCATTTTTATGGTCAGAGATGCAAATATGGCCCATATGATGCATACATAGAAGTTCCAGACAAAAAAATAAAGACAAAGACAGAAAATTAGACTTGCCATACAGCTAGGACAGGAAAAAGAAACGACAAAACGAAACAAAAAAAAGAGGAGAAAAAACAAAATGAAACCCAATAGGATSTAACTGCTAGTAAGCAAACACAGCAGAGGTTGTGTACCTTCCGCTCCTTGCAGGGGGAGAGAGCATGGGAGAGAAATGGTTTGGATTATTATCGGACAGAAGAGCACAAGCACTCGATGACACTCCGAGAGGACTCTACGCGCAAAAAAAGTTCTAATCAAGAGTTTAACTGAGATTAGCAGAGCCAATAAAAAAATCCAGCAAGAGAAGATTCAACCCCAAAAACATAACAAATAAGAGCAAAAAAAAAAAGAAAGAAAAAAGAGAGAACTGGAAGTTTGAGTGCAGTATTAAAAAACTGATTCACCTTCGTTATCCTGGACTTTAAACATCTCAGTCTTCCCCCCACCCCCCAAGCCCTCCATGCCTCCTCCTCCAGCAACAAGGGCTGGCACCAACGCAACGCGCTCACACAGCAGAACAGATACAAGGGCGGCCACCACTTAATCCCACTATGATGCAAGATGCCACCTCTGACATCTGTTTTCAGAGCCGCCCGGCCCCCTGCCCACTCACTATATGCTGGACTGAGTCTCTGTCATCAAGATTTCCAAGCTGTTGAGCACAGCTCCCGCTGAGGGTAGGTGGAAAATGTGACAAGCAAAGACACGACAAAAAAAAAAAAAAAACATGAAACCATTTTGTGCCGAGGCTTCATGACCTGATCTCTGAATACAAACCACTGCAACTACTGCAGCCAAGTTCCAACAAAAAAGCTCCAATTCTAAAGATACTAAAACATTCATAGAGACTAAATGCAAGATTTGCAAATCTCAAATGTATTATTTACAATTAAACATAGTACACATCAAATGTTTAAACTTATAAGTTGTACAATTTTTAGGAAAAATGAAGGTAATTTTGAATTTAATGGCAGCAACAAACCTCTGATGGAAACGTCCAGAAACTGAGATCAGTTTTTCTCCTGCTTTTGTCTGATGTGTAGCTGTTTAAAAATCCTGGTTGTTTGCCAGATTTGTTGTTTCATGATGCAGCAAATGTTTTCATGGTGACAAGTATGTAAACTACCTAAGAACAAAAATAGCAAAATCTATTGCGGTACTGCATAAAATAAAGGAGTTATTTAATGATAAAGCGTGTGCCCAACAAGTCGATCGCGGTCTACCGGTCGATCCCCAGCTGGTTTCCGGTCAATCGCGGAGCGCAACCTTGCTCTAACAGCTGACGAGCCGGCCCAGCACGTTTCCGCTCGCTGAGCTTCATTTTAACTCCGGCAGAAGCGGGGGAGGTGGGAGGAGTTTAAACACATTCCAGCCTTGAATGCACTCCCTCCGCCCTCCCCATCTTGTATTCTCACAGACGTAGTCTCGTGAGTTTTGGGTGCTGTGAAACAGCACTCTGAACATGATCTCGCGTGACTTTAGGGTCACGTGTTCACAACATAGCAGAGAGGCGGGAAAAAATGAACGAAAGACGAGCTAACAAGCAAATAAAAACATTATTTTCACCTGGAGTGGGAAGAGGACTCATATGTAATTCGAGCGCTGCCTTGGTTTGTCTAAAAAGGATAACGTGGAACGGCATTTCTTTCTAAACAATGCACAGATGCTGCGAGGCGGAATTCCCCTCCTAACCGAGCTCAGAATGTTCCGGAACAAGCTTTGCAGCACAGCATCGATTTTCACTCGGCCCAGCACCGTAGGTAAGGCTGCTAATGTAGCCGCATCCTGGCTCAACACAAAAGCAATCTTTCAGCGATGATGAAGTTAAAGCGTTTGATGCTGCAGACGTGCTTTTCCATGATTTTAAAAATAAAAGTGAGATTGTGGCTGCTATAAAGACGTGCAGTTGTCCACCAGGATGGATGATTGTGTCCAAATCCGTGTCCGTGTTTCTGCTGGACTGTTCTGGTGTTGAAAATGAGGTTTTGACTCTGCAAAATGACAGTGGGAACAAATCCAGAGCAACAAGTTGCATGTATGGGGAGTTCTGGAGTCTGTTGTCAGAGGAGTCTGCTTTCTCTCACATGAAAATCATCAAGTCCAAGAACAGATCCACTGATGATCATCTGGAGACCTGCCTGCGCCTCTCTCAACCATCTCACACTGCCAAGACCCTGGCCTCCTCCCAGTGTCAGAAGTCCCACTAAGGTAGACATACATTTATTTTTATATAGCCTGCATAAAATTTGTCTCCTCTGGACTTGTCACAATGTGTCTGTATGTTGTTGTTTTTTTATTACATTTTAGATCAGACTAGTGTGTTATACGCTGACTGGCACCTTTGTGTTATTTACTTATTTTGCAGTTTGGCTGTGCCCTTGTTTTCTGTACCTAACGTGGCTGTGTGTGTGTCTTGTCTGATAGGTGGTGAACCAGGTGGAACTCTTTGAATGGTCTGGAGCCAGCAGTCTGGACTAGTGAGGGACTGAGCTCTTCAACACCTGCAGATGACACCATCCTGCATGCTGCAGATTGAGCTTTGAAATAGTTGTTGGAGATTTGTGAATCTGCACCATCGTAAGTCACTTTTTGTAATAGTATAAATGAGAGAGCTTTATATTGTGTGCTTTGACTTTGAAAAAAAGGCGGCACTCTTGTGGTAGCCATGTTGACCCTGATAGTTTTTTGTTTTGTTTTTCCTCCCCTGTATGGAGAGAAGAGAGGACACTTCTTTGAATAAATGGAGACAAATTCTTGTGCTCCAAAGTTATTTGACTCTGTGGTTCTCTCCCTGGGCAGGTTTCCAGTGAGTACTAATTGAAGAAGGTAAAAAAAAATGATCCTTTTTGTTCGAGCATCACKTTTCTGTTTCTCTGTCAGGAGTTAAGTAAGGATTTTATCTTTTCKTTTTTTTGTAGGTAAATATATGGTTAAGTAGATAGTTTTGTTTGACAATACTTAAATTAAATAAAACTAGCAACACATTACGTTCTGTTTTATTTACTTTAAAGTGAGGAGTAGGGAGATGAAAAATTATGTTTTTTGATACTGAGCCTGGATGAGTAGGTCTCGGCAAAYTGCCGACTTCAAAAGTAGATCTTGGTTGGGCACCCCTTTTATAGACCAAGTAAAACTGGAGTTATGATAAATARTGYACACCACCTTTTTTATTACCTTTCAATTGCCAGTCTTGAAATATTATTCTGGAAATTGTTTCTCTATTTTTTTAAAGTGATTCACAGAGTGGTGACATCTGACAGATTCAGCCTCAGTAAAATGGTCTTTTTACACCCAGCCATTATAAAACACTCCTCCAGCTGTTTTTTCTTCCTATCACTTACTTTCTGAGTTTTAATTGCCTTTGTCCCAACTTTTTGAGATGTGTTGCTTCCATCTAGGGTTGGGCAACATTGGCAAAAAAATAATAATCACGATTGTGGTATTTAGCCGATAACGATTAATTTGATGATTAATCCCCTGGAGTCCCTGGACATCCTTATGTCCTAGTCACATGACCAATTTAGTGGGAAAGATTTGCTCTTCGTAAAAATCTGTCCCAAATTGTGTCAAAGTTACAGGCTTCAGGCTATACATCAAATTTTAAATTGTTTATAAATATTTTCAATACTCCTAATCGTTTTTCTAAACGTTAATTGCGCACGATACGACTTTGCCCAACCCTACAGCCATCAAATTCAAAATCATCTTTCCCCCACCAGAAAGGTTCAACTTGTTACTTTAAACATTTGATACATTTACTATGTTCCACTGTGAATAAAATATGGGTTTACAAGATTTTCAAATCATTGCATTCTGTTTTTATTTACATTTTGCACAGACAACTTTTTCAGAATTGGGGTTGTAAAAATTCTGAGTTGCTTAAATCTTTAAGTAAAATTAGCTTCTGTTCTGTGGAAATAAGGGTCCCTCTAATATTTTCATTATGAAGCACAACTTCAGACTAAGAGCCTGAATGAATAAAAAAAAAAGTTAAAACAGCGGTGACAACATTCTGGATAAAGGGGTTGTTTCACCCTGGTTGTGGGGAAAAAAAGCAGTTTGGTATTCAGGCAGTATTGTATGACAGAATAAAGTTCAAACCATATAACTATAGGTGAAAAAACTATTTAAAAATCATATTAGTCCAGGCTTCATTGAAAATAGTAGCAGTGTATGTGACTTTGTGGATTTTACTGTTGAGTTTCATCCCTTTTAAACGGAATATAATTAAATATTTCTATAAATCAAACTAGCTCTGACTACTTTTGCCCGCAGATATAAGGACAACACATGGTGTTATTCGAGGGTCCAAACTTAAATCAAAAGCTGCCATTAAATAACCAATTATTAATGAAAAGTCTTTGCTTCGAGGAACCTGTCTCATCGCTGTTACACAACAAACACACACAGATTAACACCTCGTTTCCTCCCACACAGTAAATGAACATGAGGTCTGAGCACCACAGATGTCAAAGAAAACTTGTGTGGCAGGATGTGTTAATAGTGCTTGGAAAAAAAACATGCATACAAATACACAAATAAAAACACAGAGTGGGGAGAAAAGAAGCAAATAAAAAWACAAAACAGCAAAAGCACAAACAGGAATTCTTCCTCTAAAGGAAAATGTTATGCATGACAAGTAAAGGCCAATCAGCTACAGTGGATAAAGGTTATAGAGCTTGTTTTTGGTGAACATTTCGATGGCAATAGAGGAAGACGTCACAAGATGAAACAAAACGCTACACAGGCAAATGGGAGAGACGAGCAGAGAGATGGACAGAAGGAGGGGATGAAGTCTGAACCATCATGAATAATTTTTATTATTATTCTCATGCCCTTATGTGAGATGATTGGCAGTGTTTCTCCTGTTGGGGTATGGGCCTCTTACCTGGCTGTGCATGAATTTCAGGTTGATTCCTTCCAGTGTCACCTGAAGCAGTCCACCTTCACCAGTCTTCATGTCCTGGACTGGGAACTCGCCACCCAGCTCTGGGCCTGAGGAGATGTAGAACAGGGAAGTTTTACCATCGCTTAGCTGTGGGTTTTGATTGGTTGACAGTATGGAGTTGTATATAACAGCTGGAGTGAGTCTTGGCCACATGATGTGATCTACTGCTGTAGCAGCAGTGCTAACCAGACCGGATTTAGCATTACTGTACATATTAGCAAAATAGAGAACAATGAGGACTGGTTATGTAAAAACAATAAAAATATTTATGATAATACTAACAAAAATAGTGTTTAATATATTAGAGAGTATATAAACTACATAATGTTTATAAAAAGTCAGAAAGCTGTGCGTGTTATAGACGTACCAAAAGATGAGAAACAGGACAACTTGTTTTATTTCAAAAATAAACATTTTATTTTGTTTACCTCACTGTGGATGTGATTCAACCAGTACTGAAGCAAACAATGTAAAAGTTTAAAATTAAAGGAAGCTTATAAAGTTGATGTAATTGCTTATTTTTTGAACTGGCTAGCAGATATTAGCTTGTGTAGCATATACTGTTAAATTGTTTAATTGTACAAGCTCGTTGTACGTCTAATATTTATGCAAGTTAAAATAACATTATAATTGACTATTTTTATGTTTCGATTAGACAAACCTGACTTGTTAAGAAGATAGTTAGCAAATATCAGTAAAGACAAGTTTCATTGAAAAGTATCATCAGATTTGCAGAGAACATTAAAGTGTCGACTGGTAAATATTTATTATTACTGAAGGCCCTGCCACACTAGACAACTTATGCCAACTTAGGAACATTTAAAAAAACAACTACATTGAAGATGGAACTGAAAAAAATCAACAGGAAGCTTATTTTCAGCGTGCAATTCGAATAAATTGATCAAATATATAACTTTTATTAGCAATTTAGACATAAAACATGTTTCACAAGTTGGCATAAGTTGTCTAGTGTGACAGTGCCTTTAGGACAGGTAAAAAATAAATACAAGCTTAAGTCCTAATTATTCAACTAGCTTAAAAGTCTAAGTTACTGACTGACTCAGGATCTAGTTTAGATCATAGTTATTTATATATTTTATTTATATCATCAGGCTGTTTTACACGATTGTTGAAAGAAATTAAAATAATTAACAATATATTACTTTGATGTAAAAAGGTTACAGATAATTTGTGACACAGACGCAGTTGGGCTCGCTTTTAATCAAATAGTTGCTTTTTTGGCTTTGAGCTGTTGCCCTGTTCGGACGCCATTTTTGTGACAAATGTTAACAGTGGGTGGGATAGGTGGGGCTCACTCTTGCTGTATTATATAACCGCTTTAGTTGACTTGATCAAGACACATAAATGCCCTGGACAAAAAAAAAGACAATGTCTCCACCTGGCTTAATGCTTTGTTGTCTTGCTGCAGCTCTTTCCATGCTGTCTTTAACACAGTAGTAAAGTTCACGACACTAGAATGAAAAGAGGAAAGTTAATTGAATGAATGTCTGGTGTTTTTATTGATCAGTACACATACAGGATGCACTGCTGACCTTTTTGGTATAGAACTTGTTGAGCTGTGTCTCCTGGCCGTTGCGTCTCCAAAGACACAGAACCTTGGTTTTAGGGCAGTAAGTCATGTTGATGAGCTTCTCGTACCACCAACGCTCGTAAACTGTACCGATGTTGCTGCGCAGGACTATACAGTCATCACAAACCTTTAAAAATCAAATTAAAAAAAAGAATAAATAACACACTTACATGTGTCTGAGACAATAAAAAAAGAGTCTGGACTTTACATACCTCCATAAAAAAGATGTCTCCTGTTGTATCTGTGCCAGCATGAACAACAAATGTTTGTTTCTTGATGTGACGACTTCCACTGGGCCTGATAGACAGCTCGCGGCCACTCTGCACATAATTTCAGATCATTACAGAAAACTAGCAGAAGCTGAACTAGCTGYATAAACAAACAGTTACAAACCATATTGGGCAGTTTGTCCAGTAACTCATTGATCTCTTGGCTGTACGTGAGGCCAATGTGAGACTTGCCCATCAAGCGCCTCACTTTCTTCCTGACGTCGTTTTTGTTCAGCTGAACAAATAAAATAAAAAAACATCCATATTTAAAATTGACAAGTTTTTAACAAGGCGAGTGGAAAGAAAGATTAAACTGCTTGAAAAACCAAGCTGCCGTACTTTCATCATGAGCATGTATGCAATCAAGTTGTGCAGTAGGGTAGCCAGAAGCCTGTCCTCGTCGTCCTCCAGACGCTTGCGATCATGCTCTCCCAGTGACAGGTACCTGTGGTGACGCAAGAATCAAACAGTGACGACCTCAGGATGGGTTACAGGCCAAGACTGAGATCGATCAAAATTAAAATCAGTAGAAATTAAAAAAAAAAAAGGCCAAACCTTTCAATCATCTCCTGGGGGCCCTGGTCCATCCCCATCCCCTCACGCTCCAACATCACAGCATCTAGGAAGGCGTCCTCCCAGAACTGCACCTGGTCCCAGAGTGTGGAGCGCTCCTTACCTGAAAATCGCAAAGCAAGCACGTCTAGCTCCTGGTGTGTGGAAAGCTCTACTAAATGCAGCCAAAAGCGCACATTCTGTCATCCCTGACGACTTTTGTACCTCTACATAGTTTCCCATTTGTAGTGAGTTCAAGTTCAAACTTGTTTATACAGTCGAAGTTAAAACCGCTTTACTTTTAGTCAGTTTTATCATTTAGAAAATTACAAACCAATATCGACAAGCAGTACTAAGCATTTGGCAACAATTTGATGAAGTCTTTCATTGAATGCAAAGTTAATACAAACTCCTAAGTACTGGATAAGGCATCAACACTTTAACATTGGACATTAAAAACACTTCAAACTATTCATCAGAAGTGGAGTCCAAACGCACAAGACTCTGCAGTTTGCAAATGCTAAGCCTCAATCTACAAAAACATTTTGAAATAACTGAAAACTTTACAGGGATCATCTAAAGGAAGCAGCTACAGTTTGGACTATGTTTGCTTAAAAAAACAATTGAATGAAGAAATCTTTCTAGTATTGGCACAAATCAAAATTTGAAACATAATAAAATATTTGCGCAACTCCATTCACAGATGTGATCACTGTTTATCAAACAACCATTTTGTTTCCAAAGCTGATTAAAAAGGAAATGATTGCTGATTTTTGTGACCAAGGAAGTGGTCAACGATTCTCAGAGGAGCATTATGAAGTAGTTTAATGGATGGACAGTTTGTAATGAAGTTTTTTTTTTTCTTTTAATGGACATTTTCAAGAATATTATTTAAAACATGCAAAAAATTAAGTAAAGGCAACAGTTTGCCAACAATGGGATGACAAAGCTGATGTAATAAAATAAAGCCGAATGCTTTAGTTGGTTATTTAAACTTTAAATGAGAAATATCATTAAAACTAGGAATAACTCATGACAGTTTCTTTAGTTCTGCTTGTCGAAACAATACTGAACCAGGACTTTGTTTGCAGTAGAACTTATAATACAAACAAAATAGTTTTCTCCAAAATATCTCAGACTATAGATTATCAAAAACCAAAGAAGTGAAATTATACTGAATTCCTCCAAGGATAAAATAAATGTTTTTTCCCCACTCTATATCCATCTATAATCACTGAAATCTTGATTTTTTTTTTTWAATTCTTTCTTAGTTAATCAGTGTTAAACACAGATACGCACCTCATAAATGAACAGGAAAAATTTGTGTCACATAAAAGATTGAACATGAAGCCAGCTGGGCTGAGCACACACAAGTACAAAAATCAAAAGAAGCAAAGGCAAGAGATCAGCCCTACTTAGAGAAAAGGTTTCCATGGCCGCATCCTCAAGCTGATCCCAAACGGAGCTCTTATCTCGCCCTGGAGGAATTTCCCATCAAGCGCAGCAGAAGGGAAGAAAAAGCAGCCAGAGTTTGACGAGGGGGTTAGGCGAAGAGGTGTGAGTAGATTTAACGACAAAAACAAGGGCAGAGCGAGCCGAGATGCACGTCACAGAAACAAAACACAGATTATTACAGACAGCATGAACATTTATTTACCACTATACAACCTGTAGCTTCAGACAGACACTAAAAACAAATGTTTTACAGAAAGAGAGAGAAATGTTTTTGCTAGATCACATATGAGGTTACAGAAAGGCTGAAGGTTTATCCGGTTAATAAATTATAACTCTAACATTCAAATACTGTAAGTTTACTTTGTCATATTATTTTCAGTAGTTACAAATCTAATTTCATTTAATGTCACATTTTTTAAAAAGTGAAATATTTTTTTCCTTTTCTCCACTTCCCAYGAGCTTTGCCTTTTATGTCCTAAATTCATTTGATCAGTTTTCCTAAACCAAACAACTTTAGATTTCACTTGCCATTTAACATCTGAATTTAATGTACTCAATTAGAGAACAACTAGAGCCAAAAGGTGTAGTTGTTCAAACCTAAAATTAGGTCTAATCTCAGCTTTTCTCCTATAAAAATGAATAGAAACATAAACATAATAATTTCATAGTCTGAAGAAAAATCCATTTTAAACGTGAAAAAAATAATCACAAGCTCTGATAATAGGGTTAACCGATAATGCATTAACTGATAACACTCATTTCTTTCCTATCACGTCATTTTATTTAAACGGGCAATTTGAAGGCACAAAAAACAAAACAAAAACACACAAAAAAATCTATATATGTATATATAATAAACAGTTACTGTCTATTGCACATTTAAGTTTAAAGGTTCAAGTTAAAAAAAATCCTGATAAGAGCAGACAACAAAGTTAATTTTAGTAAAGAAAAGCCCAACAATTTGCAACATTTTTCAATAACACATACAGGAAATGTTACCTTCACACAGCTGATTGACCCCAACCTAAAAGAGAAAGCAGAGAAAACCAGAGAGCATCACTTACCCAGCAGGCCTTCAAACAGATAAATCCTCATACTGATGTCCTCCATGGGTTGTGATGGTGGACCCCTGACCATGGCAGGTATCGGCTCTTTAGTACCAGGCTTCAGAGTRTGAGTCTTTCCCTGTGGAGTGAGARAACAATGTCATGACTGCAAATGTTGTTTGTGTGTCCAAAAGAAAGGAAGAGCTGTTGTTCAGTCTGATCTTTCACAACAGTCTGATGTACTTACAATATGAAATAAATACAACTAGGCCTGTCACGATGGTCAATAAATCAATTAATTGCACGATAAAAAATTTTGAGGTCGGTAAAAAAAATGAGGACGATAAGTTTCATTTTCCTGCTTAATTGTTTACTTCGTCTCTCTCCCTCTCTGTGCTCCGCTACACAGGAGCTCAGCTGACTCCTCCCCTCCTGTTTTCTTAGTGTGGGAGGAGTGAAGTCTCGCTTTAGCATTAGAGCTCGTAGCAATAACAAACTAAAGAAACGTTTCAAAGCAGAACGCGGCTGCTGCAGTGTCGGAGCACTATAGCCTGAATTTCGCTGCGGGGAGACACAGAGAGAGGAGGAGAAGGGGTGGGGGCTAAAACTCCCCCAGACCTGCGACAAATTCGTCAAGACTTTACCTGTAGCTCCCAAAAATAACAGGAAACTTAACGCACCATCTGTGTTTTAACTAAACACCCAAAAACCTGTAGCTGTCGCAACAACTCATGAGGAAAACTCTGAACTGTCTGATTTCCTCCCCCGCAGCGCTCTGCTTGTCTCCTCACTGACTGTCCCCTCCTCACACACACACACACACAGACACGTTTGTTCTTCTATCCTCATGGGGACTTTGCATTGAATTTCATTCATTTACCAGTATTTTCTATTACCATTTGACCCTAAACCTAGCCTAAACTTTACATATGATGTGAACTGGGCTTATGTCCCCATTAGAAACAGTGGGTCCTCACYAGGCTGTGTAGTTCGCTTTATCTCTAAAGAGATGCTGCTCTTTAATATTGTTTATTTACTGTCTTAGTTGTGTGTGTGTGTGTGTGTGTGTGTGTGTGTGTGTGTGTGTGTGTGTGTGTGTGT